CTGCGCGCCGGGAGGGGACAGCGGGGCCGACCCCCGGGCACCCCGGCCCTCCCGCCGCTGGACACGGGCACCGGGGAGGCGGTGGGAGGGGGAGAAGGGCTGGCGGAGCGAAACATCCTCTGGCCTCTTGTGCGAGGAGAGCGCGTTTGACGGTGCTGTTGAGAGATACCTAACGGAGTTGGCAGGAGCAAGAGAATATTAGCGGAGAGGGACTGAGTAGGATGAGAGGAAGAGGGGGTGCAGTGTTGCACAGATTAGTGGAATGGTGGATCCGTGGGCCGAGTCCGATTGCGTGAGGTTCAACAAGGCAAAGTGCAGCATCCTGCCCTTGGGTCGCAACAACCCCATGCAGGGCTACAGGCTGGGGGAGAGTGACTGCAAAGCTGTTCAGGGGACTCTGGGGCTGCTGATCCACAGCAGCTGAACATGAGCCAGCAGTGCCCAGGTGATCAAGAGAACCAGTGGCATCCTGGTCTGTATCAGCAATGGTGTGGCCAAGCAGGAGCAGGGCAGTGACCACCCCCCTCTACTCAGCACTGGTGAGGCTGCACCTCAAATTCTGTGTTCAGTTTTGGGTCCCTCACTACAGGAAGGACATTGAGGTGCTAGAGAGTCCAGAGAAGGGCAATAAAGCTGGTGGAGGGTCTGGATAGTTAGACCTATGAGGAGCAGCTGAGAGATGGGCATGTTTATCCTGGAGAAAAGAAGGCTCAGACAAGATTTTACTGCTCTCTACAACTGAAAAGAGGTTGTATAAAGGTGAGGATAGGTTCTTCTTCCAGCAGTCCCTTGCCAGGCCTGGCTGGGAAAGGGGCAGGAGGCAGCCCAGGACACAAGGGTGGGCAGGGAGAACTTGCCAGCCCACTTCCCCTCCCCACAGATTTATCTTGGCAACAGCACAGATGCAACAACCAGGTTCAAACTGAGGTAGGGCCAGGGCATTGGCCCAGCTCCCTGCGGTGAGAACACCCCCTTTGCTCTTCTATTGCCCCAAAAGCAGCCATGAGAGATGAGCATTCCTGACGCTCTCCAGCTCAGATATAGCCGTAAGGGTGGAATTCATTCATGTCTGGCATCTGGATGCAGGTGATAGTAGGGCATGGCTGAGTTGCCATGTGCATGTCACAGTATGAGCCCATGTGAGAACCTTCACACAGCACACATGGAAAGACAGCAAGGAAAGGACAAGATATGCTGCCTTCAGCATGTAGGGAGGACTACCTAGTTTAAAATTTTAAAATTTCAGGATGGTTGAACACAGACATTTGAATGCACACTTTGTGCATGCAGCAGCACTTCTCCATCACTGCCAGCATTTTCCTACTAGGAGCTCTCCCTCCCTTCCAACTTTCCCAGGCTTCCCCAGACACCTTTTACCCTGGGATGTGGCCATGGTGACTCAGGCCAGTGACTGCTGGTTTTTGGGATGGTGGGAAGCAATGCCAGGAAGTGCATATGCCACAGAGGCAGATGAGGGGAGTGATGGCAGCTGCCTCCCCAGGGAACCAGCTTTGGAAGCCAATGTCCTGATCTCACAGCCAGGGTTCCCTGGAAAGGCAAAGGGTTCTCCCAATGGCAGCAACTTCCTGCTGCTCTTGCAGAGGGAGAAAACCAAGCTGGCCTTGCTGCAGGGCTAGCAGGCTGTGGAGAAGACAGCTCTGTCTTGTCCTCAGCACCATGCTGGGCATCTCTCATTAGCCTTCAACCTAAGGCTGGGTGCTTGCAGCCAACCGTACTTCCTCTGGTCTGGCAGCCTGTCCCTTGTCCCTGTCTTGGTGCGCTTCCCTGCTGCCATCTCCTGCTTGTTGTCCCAGGATGATGGTGAACAGCACTTTGCCAAGCTGGGGAAAGCATTGTCACCAGCCGTGTTTAACAGCCTGTGAACCCCATGGCACACCTTCACCATCACCCTCTCCCAAAAGCCCAGGGCAAGGCATGTGGAGCTCCCATCCAATGGGGATGGGGATTCCTGCCTTCAGAGACCCCCGAAGAAAAGCAGGGAGGTTGCATCCCCCATTTGAGGGTTGATTCTCCCCCCCACCCCCAGGATGGTGCTGCACAGTAGGACCATGGCACAGCTCTGCATGGGGCTGGCTTATGTGAAAGCCAATGTAGCTTTAAAGTGTACAGGGGGGAAGAAAGGCATGCTTTGGAAAGAAAAGAGCATCCTGTATGACAGAGCTCCATCATTAACACTTGCTACATTTGTGGTCCCTGTGGCAGTAAAAAGAGACAGAGGGATTTCCTCAGTGTGGGGAACATCCATCGGGCAGCTAAGGCCAGGAGCTCATGACAAAAAGAGAGAAGGTGAAACCTGAGGGATGGTGGGAACTGCAGCCCAAGCTCAGGAGGCCAGACAGGTAATGAAGCACCTAACAGACCCCAGCAACAGCCTGGGCCTCCCTCCAACACCATGGCTTCATTCTCCTTTTGCAGTTTATGGCTTCTCTGCTCAGTCCCTTTCATGCTTCTCTGCTCATTCCCTCTCCTCACATTCCTGAGCTGTCAGTGAGATGTGAAGAAGCAGCTGGTTTTGAGCTGATTCCAATGAGCTCCCTACCCACAAATGTTAAGCTGAGCACACAGGTTTGGCTCCAGCTGTCTGGGGACAAAAAACAGCAGTACTAGGAAGACCAGAACGGGCACTCCACCTAATTTTTTTTGGCTGCTGAGTATGGGAAGGTTTGCCTCTGTCCTGGACTCCTAAGACTGTGTATGTCCTATGACAAAGTATGTGCTTCTGTGTCCACATTAGAGTGCCTACAAGTCCCAACACAGCTGAACTAACAGGCAAAGTCTTTGTTTTCTAGGTACAAACCCATCAAATAAAATAGCAGCAACCTGAAAGTCTTAGCAATTGCCACAGTTCATCCTCTCCTCTGGAAGTGTTGCCTCTCCAAAACAAAAACTTGCCCAAGGGACAGACAGGGCTCTATCCCACACTTGCCAGTAACATTTCTTCCATGAATTAGTTCAAAGACAGTTTATTTTACCTGGGAAGAGATTAACAAAAGCATGGAAGTGGAGAAGGGTGATGATTAAATTCAGAATTATTTTCTCTTAGGAAACTCCAACTTCTTCCTCCAATTGAATTTTGTGTAATAACTCTGTATGTGTGTATTTCAAACAGCTTGCTTCAAGCTTTTGATTTTTTTCAAGTGATTTATACCACATTTAAAATAATAACAATAACTTAAAAAAAAAAAAAAAAGAAAAAAGGGAGGACTCAGAGAGTAGTCCCAGCTCAAAGAGTAGCCCTGTGTGTTCTGTAAAGACACCTGGATTGAAATACAGATTAAGCTAATGTTCCTGCAGAAGGAAGAAAAGTAAGACAGCAAGTAGATTGGCCTGAGTGGTCACTAGAAATCAGAAAAACCACCTAGGAAAAAGAAGTTAAAAGTTCTTTATTCACAAACATATAATTCATGAAGCATCTACTTTACTAGAGGATGAATTTTGACTGAAAACCAAATTTTTTAATGTCAAATAGCTGACCAAATGTTATTAAAGCCTTTAACAATCCTTTTTCAGGAAAGCAAATACATATTTTTTAATTTTTATTAACACAAGGACCCATGTCTTGGCTTTCAGACTAATTCAGTTAAAAAGCCAGGCAGATAGAAGACTCAAAGCAAATGAAAATCATATTTCATTAGTTTCAGTGCTCACCAAAGTTGTTTTTCTTATAAATTGAGTTGATTTAATTCACAAAATTGAAAAAAACCAGTTTTAGAAAGTATTTAATGTTTTCCTTTGTAATTATAAATGGTTTTTTTCAATCACCTGTCATATCTTGATGGCTATTGCGATCATCCAGAAAATTTAGAGATTTACAGAGCACCTAAGACTGATTTCTGAAGGATGATGGAAGCTCTTTCTTCTTTCCTTCTCTACTATTGTTAAAGGGTATACATCCTCAGCTCATTGTAGGAAATAGGGACAAAATAGGTACTTGATATACAAGGTTTTTCCTGTCTGGTACAAATGACCAGAACTTTGGAAGTAGTCTCATTTTGTTTCTTCAAAATGAAGACTAATGTTTTTCCTTTCTTTTTGAAATACAGAAATTTGAAGTAGCAAACCCAGCAGCAAACAAAATAGCAAACAGATGAACCATCAGATGAAGAAAATTATAGCCTGTCCTCCTTAATGTTCCAGTTCCCTCATCTCTCTCTCCTTTACAGATACTGAGTGTGACAGATGATCCTTACAGGGTCGATCTGGCAAATCTGACTGGAAAATTCAGACTATTATTGGTAGAGGCTCTAAAATTAAGACTTTTGAGAGAGCTGCACGCACAATGAAGTGTCTCATTTATTAAAATTAAATGAGAAAATTATTAGAAACCTGTACCTCTTCAAACATGCTAATGCTAGTAAGTATGTATATATGTATATATGTATATATGTATATATTTATATATATTAAGCTTTATGTATCTGATAGATAAAGAGCTTGTCCAAACAGCAATGGCATACATTGACCATAATAGACATGACTACATTCATAATGCCCTTATGCTTCACAGGAAGCAGACGCATGTTTAATTGCTGTCATGTATTTACAGAAAATTGAGATCATACAAGATGCTGAAAACATATGTTCCTTGCAGCCTTATGCATTTTATTGTTTACATTTACTATATAGCTATGCCTTTGCTGACAGATCTCCATGTGCAAGCCACGGTCAAGTTGTTTGTATGACCTCATGGTTTTTTGCCCCATGCAGTGGTGCACACATCACCTCCCCAGCCCTGGCCACACTACAATCCCAGAAACACTCCCTAGGCCTCAGCCTTCAGAAGGTGCACCTGGAGCTTATCAGGAGCACTGTCTGTTCCCAGGAGCTAGTACTGTCTAATGACCACCTGGACTTTAACAGCCTTAGAAACTCATTTTTCTTGTCTGAAAAACCCAAGAGAAATAATATTTTCATTATCAAATTTTCAAAGTTAGTTTCTGACCTGAATTGTGGCCAGGATGGAAGATTACTATGACTAAGACCACCTCTCTTGTGATTCCAAAAACAGCAGCCCAGAGACCCTCTGAGCTCTCCCAGACCACTGCAGCTGTGACCAGCAACCTTCCTCTGCCTGGGGCATCCCTCAGCCAGTTCACTCAGCCAGGAAACTCTCGAGTTTGCTCTGCTTGGAGGATTGCTGAATGATAATGATGGATCCAGGGCTGATACCCCAACTCCTTGAGGCTCAGCCCTGTGCCTGATGAGAAGATGCAAAGGCATCTGAAGTGAGCAGTTCACTGAACTCAAGGGAAATTTTTCACAGGTACCTTGTATAAACTGTTTAGGTCTGTGTGAGCAAGTGTGAATATGCTACAGCAAATTTCTAGGAATGTCTCTCTCCTAGATTCTTAAGTACTTTAGATTTGAAAGTAAGTAAAGCCTGTACATGAGTAACTGTTGTGCTATAGCAAATTCTATAGGAATCCTTTGCTAAGCTGTTGGTCCTAAGTTATGGATTAAGTGCTATTAAATTTAAGTGTTGTAAAGGTTAATAGCTGTTGAGCTTTCAGGCATAAATTCTTGGTAAAGGTCAGGCTCAGTTTAGCACAAGGGTCTACTCTGGACCTTGTGACTCAACAGTAGGGTCTTATGTATTCTTCTTTACCCTTGCACTTTTCTATCCTTTTCCTGCCCGACCGCCTTCCCTAAACTTTAACATTTAAAGACTTTAAACTCTTGTTGCACATTACAACACTCACAGTGTTGCACATTATAACATTCACAGTGTTAATACCTTCAAAAAAAAGTTTTGAACACAATCATATACCTATAATAATTAAAAAAATGCCAAAACTAAATGTCTCTTAAAAATTACAGAGGTTCATTTTCTTCCTGCAAGATCATATTTTAGCAAATATGAAATATTGTCACACCAGTTTTGTGAGAAAAAAATTATAATTAAATAAAAAGATACCTATTTTTCTGCATCCACATTTAACTCATATGCTCTCATTTAACCCCTATGTCTCAACAAAATGGGGCAATTAATTAGCTGAATACATTTAGTGCTATTTTGGATTCTTTTGTGGATTATACTGTCATTGAGGAATTGAGATACAAGTTAGTGGTGAAAAGGATTAGCCTGTCATCTTCAAAGTTCTTAAAGGCAGTGTTTGTTCATGCATAAATGGTAGATGTAAATGACTTGTGAAGAGTTAATGCATGATTAATAATTGTTATCAGCAAGCTACAGGCATGAACTTCATGTCTCATGAATAACTGTGCCACAGCTATATCTTTATAAATTGATAAGCTTAACCTTGAAAAGAATCAGGAAGACAGTTATTGTTGAGATGTCTTTTAATAACACCTTCTATACTTTCTGCCACATAAACACTTTCTAAAGGCACTTATTGTGTGCAAAGTGCTATACAGAATTAAGTACCTGTCTTTATTTCCTGTACTTAACATAATAAAAAAAGAAGAGACAGATGCCTTGTTGGACAAGTCAAGGCAATGCCATCTAATAAGAATTTTAAGCATGATTCAATATTCCTCCTGGCTGACTATTTTGGAAAGGTATCTAGATGTTCCTGAGGACAAAAGTGAGGACAGCATGAAATATCACGTACAAATTTCCTTTTTGCCCACCATAACATATGTATTTATACCTAAATCACACCGCTGATGTGCTTTACTGTAGTAGTTGCTCTTTACTTAAATTCTTCTTGATTTGCACTCAGTCTGAACAGCTGTCAGCTACCTGCTAGACATATGGTGCCAAAGGCCCACAGGGCAAATTTCTTACAACCCACAAGATGCTCAGTTGCAGTCTTTGGAACACTTTTAGCGCACTGGCACGGTGTTATAATGAATTGCGCCTATCCCAGGCTCCAATCCCAAACTGGACCTGGGCCCCAAATATTTACCTAAAGAAAACAGATCCTTTCTGCCTTTAGCAGAGTTATTTCAGCAGAATCTCACTCTAAGGTCTTAGTTTGGTTCTTAGTATAAAAAATCGATATTCTCTATATATTTGCTAATACATATGTCTGAACTTTAGAATCTCTCCTGTCATCCAGATTTAGCAATTCAGAAAAGGGACACCACCATAATAATTGAGAGAACATCTGGGTTTTCACACCACCGTGAAGGACCCATGCATGTTAAAGGATCTGCCTTAGGAGATCCTAAAAGACACTATTAAATTTATCCTGAAATTAAAGCTCTGCTATTTTTTTCATTTTATTTTTCAGAACACCAGGAGAACTAGCAACGCCTGGATGCTGATTGTTTGGGTAAGGAGTGAAGTGAGGACTGTGAAATGCAGTGGAATCATTACCTATGCAACAATGGAAGTCCTGGGGAATGAATGAACTCAAAAAGAAGAAGAGTTGCCTGAAGCACCAATGCAGGTATGTGGGACACTATTTAGGGAGATATTTTTCAAGGATAAGAATGTTGGACAAAATTAGGGGTTGGAACAAAAACTGTTATATGAACCCTCTTGACTGAGCATACTTCTCAGAGGCTTGAATACAATTAAGTATGCAAGAAAGTCCATGTCCTTCTAGTTTGAAAAACACACTTTAGAGTAGTAATAATTATATGCTTGGTGCCTAGTTATTACACTACATGATTTCTCAGAAATTATAATAGCAACTAATAATTTCCAAAATAGAAACTTCCAAAAATATGCTACCCAGAAATCCCTGTAGAAATCCCATTCATTCTAAAATGACAGTTTGTTATGGGAACAAGTATTTTACACATTATGCCTGAAATGTACAGGGTAAATTACATACCTTACATCAACATTAAAAATAAATCTAACACTGAAACTTCAAGAAAATGTGGCAAAAGTTCTTGTGCTGCTAATTTATTTATTTTTAAATATCTAACTGTAAACGTAGGTGCTAGAGGATGGGTGGTCATTCACTATTAAAGAACATACTGACCTCTTAATGCATCCTTACATAACTTTCCCTTGTCTAAGACATTATCCTTCCTGTCTTGAACTAGGAGAGACTCATACATGCTAATGGATCTGACATCAGTGTTGCTGGGGAGCATGATTTTTATGCTAGAAAAAATACATTCTCATTTTCAGATTACATCTGATTATTGTTATATTTCTGCCTTTACATAGTTCACTTTAATATCAGCCTAGGCCAGCCAGCAGAGCCATTACCTTTAGTGTAGTTACTCACATCCTTAAGTGTGTATTGAAATGCTTTTTTTGGATTAAAAGTCTGGGTTTTATGTTAGCAATTTTCTTGAACATAGTAGTTAAAAACATAGATCCTGCAGTGATCTTAAAAGCCAAACTTAATGGAAAGATTAAGTTTGGAACACTTAAAAGATTAATACTGGGGTTTGTCTGCCCAGACTGATCAATTTTGTCAAAGTAGCATTAAGTTATTCTGTATGCAGTATGAATTCAATAGAGTTCATACAAAGACCATGCAGTCATTAAATATTTGATGAAGATTATAAAATGACTTCATAGAAGCAGCCATGCTACTTTAGACCACTGGACTCCATGAAACAATATTTTGTCTGCACCAGTGGCCACAGCCAGGTGCCTAGAGAAGGGTATGAATAGGATCAGCAGATGTTACTTTTTACCCAAATATCTTTCCAGACTCCAACCATTTTCTACTCAGGGGATTTCTTAATATCATTGTGCAAGTAAATAGACCTTAGCATATTAGAACAAGGGGCACTGCTGCCCTGCCACTCCAAGATTAGGAAAAGAAGAATATAGGGAAGCTTGGGTGCACAGAGGAACTGTCAGATTGGAGAGAAATAGCCTGAGACTGGCTGTTGCAACTTTCCAGTCCAGCATTATGGCTCTGCTCCAAGAAATAAATTCCCATAGGGCAGAAAAACTGGGTAATTAAGAGCCAGAAACCCCAGGGTCTTTATGATACTGTTTTTGTTTAATTCACGGCATGTGTGCATAACTATTTGCCCCAGTTTTTCTATTTCTTTCCCATTTTTCTTGTTTAATAAACCAGACCCAACTCAGATTCGCAAACAGAAGTGGTTTTCAGTCTTCATTCTGATCCTTGCCTGCTCCTTCTGTGGTCTGACCAATAAGTTTGTGAAGAAAGATCTTAGGTTAGCATGCCAGCATCTGGGTCCAAACACACAGATTTCGAGTGAAGACAGACCAAGCAATAACTATTCTGATTTCCAGCCCAGTGACTGGGAGAATATATCTCTGAACCTGCCCTGAGCACATCCCAGAGAGAATCCTCCAGAACCTGCTGTCCATTTTATTAGAGTCCCTTGCTGCTGGAAGTGCAGCTGACCAGCAAAAGGCCACAGAGTCTGCTGAGACCACACTAACAAAGGACCTGGTCAACTAACTTCTTTATGACTGGCATGTGAACCAAAAGCTGAGACTGAGTCATGGTACTGTACCAACATAATGAACCTGTAAAGAAGTCAGAAAACTGGACAGTGACTTTAGGGACAGCCGCTATAGTAGCTATATATAGTTGGCAGCAGCAAGGATAGCAGAAGTGTATCTCTAATGGGTTTTGCAACATTTATGAGTCCCATCTACATTCTCTAATATCCAGGGAGGCCTCTTTTCTGGTGGCTCATCTCATCGAGCTCCTTACAGTCAGTGACCATCTGGAAGCTCTTAATTACTGACATTATTTACTAGTTACTTAATGGCCTAGATGCTGAGGGTGATGTTTTCTGCTGGAAAAGTGATAACATAAATAAAATGCATCCAAGGCTGATGGTTTCAAAATCACACAAGGAATAAATATGATCAGTGTTGCAGTTGCACTGCTCAGCTATGAGACTCAGGAAAAATAGATTACAAGAGACATTTTGCTGCCATTCAGCCTACTTTTGAATGTTTTGCCATGCTGCAGTGGCATGCTGCAATATGGTGTGATGCAAACACAGCAGCTTGCTGTCCAGAGCAGTTTCCAGCCTTTCCATCTGCAGATCTGAGGCATACATCCCAAGCTGTCTGACCTCAGATTGCTTGGACCTTGTCTACCACACAAGATGTCCTTGCTTTACACTCTATCAGTCGCTATATTCCTCCCTCAATTCCTATTATGGGGTTTCCCAGTCCAGCCTCTCAGTACCCACTCTAATCTAATCTAATCTTAATGACTACTGTCAACCTATCCGATCCCACTCTCTGAGTCTTGCTTGAGGGCCTGAACACTAACACAGAGCATGTGGGAGATATCAGGGCTCTGTCACCCATTGTCAGCATGGAGGACTCAGTTCCAAACTGCCTGGGTGGGCTCATCAGTGAAGCCTTGGTTGGAATTAAAGACCTCTAGATAAAAACAGTTTTAGACGACTGGCATAAAGGAGATGAGTTGCACTGCCTAAATTAGATGTTTAGGCTGGCAGTCACAAGCTAGGAAGGTCTCCAGTTGAATGGTGAGTGAACAGCACTGGGCATTAGAATGGGGAGAGGGAACAAATTGTGGCCTTATGCTGAGGCAGGACCTGATGGTCCGTACTAGACCACATTTCCTTGTTTGCTTATGCTGAGACACACAACACAACCCAGTCTTACTAATGTCAAATGATTTCACTCCTTTATTCACCTACAGTGCAGGCTAGTGTGCTGCCAGCGGATGGCTGCTGAGGTGTGTTTTGACAAGCCCATATTGTATGCTTCTTAGCACCTCATCTTTTAGGTATATACAATTTGATGAAACAAATATGGTATGCCCTTTCCTTTCTAGAATTTCACATTCCTCTTTTGCTCTCTTCTCATGATAGCTGAATAGAATTGAACCAGCACCAGGTTCACAGTTCTAGCAACGTTAATTTCCTGTCTTTAAATATGCATCTAACTTCACAAATACTAACAGTCAGATTAATACCAATTCTCTGAATTTTCAGAACAGTAGCTAGGTTAGTCACTCCAAAAATGAAAATTACTTTTTTTATTGTCTTATTAAATCTACTTTGAGTACTGGACCCTTTTTAATAATGGGGATATAAGGACACTGAATGCATAACTCCATTGTTTATTTTATTAAATATATCAAAATTAACTGAACAGTTCCCTTTAATAAGTACCTTGGCTTAGAGCTTTGGAGAGATACAGATCACAGCAAAACATCAAAATCTTGAGATGCTCACATGATTTATGATTTACTAAGAATTAAAAAGCCATATAAAACTGATATCACTCTATGCGACACACTATCATTATCTCTGAAATACTCCAGTGAACTTTTTGAACAAGCCAAACAAAAAAAGAGACCTGACAACTTGTTCAAAAGTATGGACAGCCCTTGCTCAGACACAGTTAGTATAAAAAAATCCCTTTTGGTACATGCAAACCAGGATTTTGTGCTCTAGTTATGGAATATCTTAGTGGGTGTAGATGAAAGGATTTTTTTAATTGTTTTTCTTGTCTTTCGAAACAGCTTTGTTGCCAGTCAAATATTTACAGCACAAGTTCAGAGCAACAGTTTTCTTATTAAAGTGGTGGAAAATAAACAAATGTAACCATTAAAGTGTAAGGGAATACAACTAAAACCTTTTATTAACTTAGCCAGAAAAAAAGACCACATAAAAAAATCTTAATTTAAAAAAATTACCTTTTCTGTAAAACTAGACACTGATCTTTACTGATGATTCAGTCCAAATATGAGTTGCATGTGCAATTTGATTGACAGAGCACCCAAGCATGGCCCACGACTTGGCCTGCTCTGACTACAGGGCAGTTGTGTGGAAGGAGATACAACCATCCAAAACAGACCCAACTCTGACCACCCAGGGATCTCCCATCCAGATCTGCTGGGAGACAGTGCTGCTGGCCACTGATGTAGCAAGGGATGATTCTCAGCTCTGAAAGGACTGCTTTCTTCCTCTGTCGAAGGGGAAGCCCACACAGAGCTAAGCTGTTTGACTTTGCCTTGGGACAGAGTTGCAATCCTCATATATCCCAGCTCATTTCAGCTCCCAGTGATTTCAGCTCAGAAGTGGCGTCAGGTTTTGTCATTTCCTGAATGAACTCAAACTCTGCCTGGGATCTGATTTAGACAGTAAAGAAAAAGGCCAAACCAAAAAAAAAAAAGCAATTACGGGGTGTTGGGGGAGGAAGAGGGGAGTACAAAAAAGGAGAAAAAAAAAGGAGAAAAAAAGGAAAAATGGAAATGAAGGGGGAAAGGGAAAAGAAAAACAAAAACAGTCTTCCCAGATAAGACCCTGAAATATAAATGGACCCCCTATACATGACCTTTTCCCCTTGACTTGATAGCTGGGTCTATCCTCATCAGTGGGGAGAGAGGCTCCCCAAACCTGTTTGTTTTCTGAGATGAGTTAGCAGTGAAGTTCCTATTAGCATTTTCTTTATTAAAATCTCTTCAGGACTTCCGTGAGACTCACCTTGTTTTCAGTGTCTTGGTGAGCATTAGGTCTTCAAAATTATTATTATCCTTGTGCCATAAGAACATTGTGTTGCTGGAGAAAAAAAGTTAAAATATTACCTTTCCTATAATACATCTGTCCATATGTTCTTGTTCTCCTTAAGAAACTCAGGCATTTCTTTGATTCTGACAAAGTATAGATCATAGGCTGTGATTTGTGATTTTTGATTTCACCATTAGGCTGCTGCAAATTGGAGACATTCTTTGTACATGTCTGGTGGCTGAAGTGAAAATCCTATTTTAAGGGACACTAAGGTGTTGAACTGACATTACTAAGTGGTGCAGATTTGCTTTATTTCTGTCTGGTCCTAGGACTGGATATGTGCTTTTAAGAAAAATTATATTTGTGCAAACATCTGGCTGTAGGCACACACTGCACATGCGTGAAGAGGTAATGTTGCAAGTGAGGTGAGCCAAGGGCACTCTGATAAGTGGCTTCGACCTTGGCTCCACCAGGGGAGAAACCATTTCCCAACACGGCAGTCACACACTCCGGCACATCCTGCAAGACTCCAATCATAAGTGCAAGGCATATTCAACCCCTCTGGTACTCTAAATAACAAATGTGCAGCTATTCTTCCCCCAGAGCAAAACAGTCATTTTGAGTTAACTTCACGTTAGCCATTTAGTGTCAGCAAAAGAAAATACCAGTTCTTTATCTGTTTCTCCCAAGACTGTGGGATACAAGTAACCTATTAGCATCCAAACAGCATGGATTTATGAAAGGCAGGTCTTGTTTGACCACCCTGATCTGCTTCTCTGGCAAAGTGACCCACTTGGTGGATGAGAGAAAGGCTCTAAATGTTGTTTACCTGGAATTCAGTAAAGCCTTTGATGCTATTTCCCGCAGCATTCTCCTGGAGAATCTGCCTGCTTACAGATTGGATGGGTGCACTGTTCTCTAGGCAAAAAACTGGCTGGGTGGCCAGCCCCAGAGAGTGGTGGTGAACAGAGCTCCATGCAGCTGGCAGCTGATCACCAGTGGTGTTCCCCAGGGCCCAGTACTGGGGCCAGCCAGTGTGTGAAAGGTCTTCATCGATGACCCGGACAAGGGGACTGACTGAGTGCACCCTCAGTCAGTGCACAGATGACACAGATGACAAGCTGGGTTGGAGTGTTCATCTGCTGGAAGGTGAGAAGCACCTGCACAGGGATGCAGAGGGATATGGACAAGCCCCTGCAGCGTTATGGTCTAGGAACAGTGTGGCTGGACAGTGCCCAGGCAGAAAAGGGCCTGGGGGTGGTCATGACAGCTGGCTGAACATGAGCCAGCAGTGTGCAAAAAGTCCAACAGCATCCTGGCCTGGATCAGGAATAGTGTGGCCAGCAGGAACAGGGAGGTCTTTCTCCCCCTGTACTGCACACCTGTACACCTGGAGTGCTGTGTCCAGTTCTGGCCCCTCAGTTCGGGAAGGACGTTGAGATGCTTGAGTGCATCCAGAGGAGGCAACTGAAAGGTGGGTGCAGGCAGGTGGGGCTTGGTCTCTTTCACCAGGCAGCAATCGACAGAACAAGAGGACACAGTCTCAAGCTGCACCAAGGGAAATACAGGTTGGATATTAGGAAAAGGTTTTTCACAAAAAGAGTGATAAAGTACTGGAATGGTTTGCTTGGGGAGGTGGTGGAGAAACCATCCCTGGATATGTTTAAAAAAAGACTGGATGTGGCACTTGGTGACATGGTTTAGTTGTGGTGTTATGGCTGGGTCAGACTCGATGATCTTGGAAGTCTCTTCCAACCTAGTCATTCTGTGTGATTCTGTGTGAAGATGGATCATGGGCCAAGGCCAATTTTATGAGATTCAACAAGGCCAAGTTCTAGGTCCTGCACCTGAGTCACAACAACTCTGTGCAGGGCTACAGACTGGGAGCAGAGTGGCTGAAAAGATGGCCAGTGGAAAAGGACTCTGGGGCTGCTGGTCAACAGCAGCTGAACATGAACCAGGGTGTGCCCAGGTTGCCAAGAATTTCCAATGGCATCCTGACTTCAGTCAGCAGTAGTGTGGCCAGCAGGACCAGGGCAGTGGCTGTTCCCCTCAGCACTGGTGAGGCCACATTTCAAGTCCTGTGCCCAGTTTTCGGCTGCTCACTACAGGAAGGACTTGGAGGTGCTGGAGTGTGTCTAGAGAAGGGCAATGGAGCTGGTGAAGGGTCTGGGGCACAAGTCCTGTGAGGAGCAACTGAGAGAGCCAGAGATGTTTAGCCCAGAGAAAAGGAGGCTCAGGGGTGACCTTATCACCCTCTATAACCACCTGAAAGGAGGTTGTAGCCAGGTGAGGGTTAGGCTCTTCAAATAACAAACAACAGGACAAGAAGAAACAGCCTCAGGTTGTGCCAGGGGAGGTTTAGATTGGAAATTAGGAAATTTTCTTCACAGGAAAGGTTGTGAAGTTGCTCAGGGAATGGGTGAGTCACCATCCCTGGAGGCATTGAAAAGACACATGGATGTTCAGTGATGAACTTGGGAGTGCTAAGTTTATGGTTGGATTCAATAATCTCAGAGGTCCTTCCCAACCTAAATGTTCTATGAAGTGTACCACGGCTAATGGTTTTCTCTTTAATGTTACTGCAGCCACAGTGAAGGTTATGTTGGGAAGATTATCTTTATGAATATTTGTCTTCTTGATAGATAACCAAGAGACACATTACACTCCTCCAGCAGTGTTTCTCAGTAAGAAAAACCAACTATCCTGACATCAAACTCATTTTTCTTAATGGACTCAATCCACTGTCAGCAAAATCAATGAAGTGCATTTTTCATCCGTCTTAATGGGATCTGGAAAAGGGCCCGTGTTTCTAAATAAAGCCAAATACTGGGCTGATTCTGTATTCAGTTATACCCATGCAAACTGGAAATCAGCCAGTTGGCAACTTCTTTTTTCTTTCCTTCTCTTTTGTGTTTTGCAACAGGAAAAAAAAAAATCCCACTTTATTAGGGTGAAAAAGGTAGAAGCACAAGATTACAAGGATAAAAATTCAATTCCCCTTTCAAGTGATGTAACACTTGATCTGTATGCCTCAGCTCAGAAGGAGATTTGCAAATTATCCAAATTTCAGCATCTTGAATTATTTGCAGCAGTGTTAGGGTTGACATGACTTAAATGTGGCTGTCCACATACCAAAAGAGCCTTTTCTATTGCTGACTATTGGTTGAGTATAACAACACTCAAACAACATTTCTGAAGTGGCACCTATGTATGAGGCAGGCAAATCTAAAGTAAAGCTATCCCATCTGTTCCACTTACCTCTTGTCCTTGGAGACTTTCTTCATTTATTTGCTTTGGCAAAGTAAAGAGATTTTTCCAGAGTCTCTGGCATCTCCGTGTATGTAATGATATTATAACACAATCCCTGAATTTGACACACAGGTGGATTATGACAATGGCTTAAGCAGCAGAGAGCTTTAAAGGAAAGAATGACAGTCTGGTTAGTTTTCAGATAATAGAAGTTTTCTAAACAATTCCTCATGCATAAAAATGGCAGAAAACCCTGTGTGGTTGAGAACATGGTTGCCAATGACCTCACTATATCTACCTCAAAAAATAGGAGAAGACAGTGCAGCACCTGGTAACATTTCCTTTCTCCTCTGCCAAAATTGCTTCTCATACTTATGAAATGTTTAGCTCTCATGTTTTAGATCTGGAAAGCTTAATAATAACTTTCCCTGCTTTATAAACTTTACAAGATTAACTCATTCACAGCAGACAGATAAGATGTCGTTTCAATATCTCTCCTTCATTCTCTGAGTTTCTCTTTGAAAAGGAGGGTCGTTGCCATAAAAAATAATGTAATGCCTCACACTAAAATGATGGCACTTATGTACTCTGTTTTGTTAAGTCTCTACCATATATGAAGAAAGACAGAGCCTTCTTGCCTGTGTCTTGAATAATGCATAATGTATACAAAGAGGAATGGTTAAGAGTTTAAAGAAACCACCATTTACAGGAAGAAGAATATGGTAGAAATCACAGTTAAATGCAAACTGGTGTGGCAGATGAGCAGACAGAGAAGAGCAGGCTTCCAAGGCAGAAGACACTGATTAATCTTGCAATCCTTTCACTTGGCAAAGAGCACGAGCAAACACTTTCTTCCATCTTTAAGGACATATGACCACCAACAGATTCTACCTGTATTGTTCTGCATTTATCTGTTAATGTGTGCTCAGAGAAAAAAAAGAAAAAGGTAAAGTCCACTTTTCAAGCAGGAACTAATTAAATACTAAGAAAATAAGCCCCTAATTCTTCCATTCCCTGCATTTGAGCCAAGACATAACTCCTGCTGATGTCCATAGGAGTTGTATTAGTAGAGCAACGAGAAAGAGTATACACAGAGACCTGTTCTGTAAAACTTTTTACAACCTCAGCCACCCTTTTAGAAGAACAGACATTGTTAAAGAAATCCATGCCTGCTCACAATGCCATTCACTGGTGACACCTCTCACTGACTATGGCCAGTGTGCAGTCCCTGTTTTCTGCATAGGTTCAGTTCAAAACTTCCAGGCTCCAGTGGACACAAGTGAATACTTTCAAAGACAAACACAGACACATGTTAATAGTTTGGAAAATGTGACTATGCAAGATGCTCTGCTGGAAAGCTTGGTAGAGACTTTTAGGGTCAGAGTATGTTTGACAAAGTTCCTGGAAATATTTTTTTTAATTCTGTTTCAAAGGCTATAATAATCTAATAAGCAACACAAATCAAACATCAGTATATGATCAGTATGAAATCAGTTACAGGATTATTTTCCCCAATTTAATAATAATAATATTAAATTGGGTATTAATCTCTAGTTAGATAAACCTTAAGAAGTACAGAATACATACCTTTCCCAGGAAGAAAATGAGAAAATGCTTTGACAGAAACACAGTTTAGAAATATTTTCCAGAATACCTATTTACAGGACTGCAGGCTGAAGGAGACATTCTCAGGCAGTTGTCATGATGGTGATATGTCATTGACCTCCAAAATGAGAGTTTACCAGTTCAAGTTACCAAATATTCTAACTTCTATCTTGAATGGAATTTGAGAGAAACTAGACCCTAATTAGAGATAAGTCCTACTTCGGTAGAAAGCGCTATTGTTTGGGCTGTCATGCTGGCTGGTGGGTTTTCTCACATACAGGAGTTATGTTTAATCAGCTAGCCTGATTCTTCCAGTGATAACTTAACACATTTAACTTAATACACTTTTTAGTAGGTTTCTTTGTGTGTTTTTGAGTTGAGTTTTTTTTTTTTTTTGTTACTCACTAACTGGATTTTTAACCTGTTACTTTTGCTCAAAAGTAAAAACATTTTGCTTCTAGACCTGAGTTTGGCTGCACATGTTTAATACACAGTACAGATTTTATCAACATATGCTACACCTCTTTCTTATTTGGAACATTACACTTATCCTTTCCTCATAATTAACCCTCCTTACCTCTTGCTTTCAATGGAAAAAAAAAGAAAGTGATGAATGAAGCAAGGCCCCACCAGCGACAGAACTTTTCCATATGAAAATACTAACTTGTTCCGTGCTTTCTAAGATATGAGGTAACATTTTAAAAGGCACACAATTAATTTGGCTAAATATTTTTGATTTTTTAAAATATTTCATTTTGACATATACCTTATGATATGGTATTTTTCTTTAACATCCCTTGATTATTTTCTTTATTCAAAAGCTTAAGAATTCTGAACAATGGATTCTATTGATATGGGAGCTCAAAGTGTCTTTTTGTATATATTTTCTAGATTATCTTCTGTTTAGATCACACCCACAAAAAAAAGAATAAAATTAGAATGGCTATTAGATGCTTACATTCTATTAGAATTAGTTATTTTTTAAATAAAAAAACAAGGTCACTTCTCTCACACATTCATTATAGAGATCATCCTTGCCATAATCTATGAATTTATATTAATTGAAACTGGTAGATGAAAGCACAATCTCAGATTTTTCTTATATTAGAGCCTAGCTGACTTTGATAAATAGCAGTGTCTGTAGAGCAGTCCATCCCAGTGTTCATTATTGGTCTTGACCACAGTATCACAGAATATACTGAGCTGGAAAGAACCCACAAGGATCACTGAAGTTCAGCTCCTGCCTCTGCACAGGACAGCCTCAAGAATCACACCATGAGCCTGAGAGCATTGTCCAAACGCTTCTTGAACTCTGTGGTCACCCAGGTGCTCTGACCACTTTCCTGGGGAGCCTGTGGGTGAAGAAACTTTTCTTGGTATCCAGCCTAAACCTGCCCTGACACAGCTTCAACCACTGCCTCAGCTCGTGTCACAGGTCACTAAAGAGAAGAGATCAGTGCCTGCCTATCCTGAGGAAGTTGCAGACTGCAATGAGGTCTGCCCTCAGTCTCCTCTTCTCCAGGCTGAACAGACCAAGTGACCTCAGCCGCTCCTCAGGGCCCTTCACCATCTTTATTGCCCTCCTTTGGACACTCTAATAACTTTATATTTTTCTAATGTTGTGCACCCAAAACTGCTCCTAGCACTGGAGGTGAGACCGTCCCAGCTCAGAGCAGAGTGGGACAATCCCCTCCCTTGCCCAGCTGGCCATGCTGTGCCTGATGCCCCCAGGACACGCTTTGCCCTCCTGGCTGCCAGGGCACAAGGGCTTATATTCAACTTGCCATCAGCATGGCCCCAGCTCCCTTCCTGCAGAGCTGCTGTCCAGTCTCTTGCTTCCTTGGTGTCTAGCACAAGTTTTATTCTGAACCAAAATTCTGAGAAAGTCCCAGAGGGGCTTCAGGGAAATTTTGCCTGCGGTTCTTTATGAGCATGTCCCAAAGGAATATCATGAAAAGAGAAGGATGTGAGAAAAATGGAAAGTATTTGCCAAATTCCCATAACTACTTTATTTAATTGCATATATTTCTGATATCCATGCACATGAGTATTCTACACTTCCCTGTTCTTAGTATTGAACCTCTGCATTTTTGTGTTTATGAAAGTAATTAGTATTTACTTTCCAGTCGCAAAAGTAGAAAACATCTAAAATAAATCTCTCAGGCAGGTTTTCCCCTTCCACAAGAAACACCAGCCACATGAAGCCTCATGAATGGTTACCAAAAGGCTAAAAACAAACAAGGATTTCTTGAAAATGTAATTGCTCAATATATCCAAAACTGCCAGCTGCAGTTTCCTCTTTAGGCTATTGACTTCATAACCTTACCCAACCCTTTAGAAATTTCCTGGTCAACAAGATTTTTCGGAAGCTTTATAGAAAAAACAAACCAACCAAAATAAAAAACTCCATTGGTTTAAATTAATTTCCTGAAGACTAAATTACTTCATAATAAGTCAGACTAAACAATTGTAAAAGTTACTAAAAGTAAACCAGTTTATCACCTTAAAGCAATAAAGGCAAATAAACAGACAACAAGGCTTGTTGCAAACTACCTTTTTAGACTACCACCTTGAAAGAATATTCTTTGAACATTTGTTTTTCTGTATTGGAAGAAAAAGTATTGCAATGCATTGTCTTATTTTTTTTAAGTACAAGCTTTAGAGAAACTCAAGGGTATAAAGTAGGAGTAAGATTTCAGACTAAAATGGTTATTTCTTCATGAAATTTGTGTCATGGTTATTCTTTCTCTAACTGAATAACATATTTACAATTGTGACTGTTTAAACTTGTAAAAGTGATTCTCTATGTAAAACCATGAAGTGTGTTTTTAGCAAGTGTATTCAAATCAGAGAAGGAAGGTATTTTGTGAGAATATTTTTGCTCTGAATTTACTGCTGTGCATATTTCTGTCCTCAGTTGTGACCTTGGTGGGACTCCTTATATGAACCAGATCACAAACACATCACCACTAGGCTGTTCTATGATTCTGTAAGAAACACAACCCCATCTCACTCCTAGTTATAGGTAGTGATTCAGATTTCAAGGAGAGACAACAAAGAATTTTCCATAGGATTGTTAAGGATTAAATGAAAAAATTTGGCTCTCGTCTTAATAAGGTTGCTGTTATATTTTTGTTTACATAGAAACTTGGACAACTGGTCTGGCTACAGTCTATCTGATGTGCTTTAAAGCATGTGATAAAAATTAGATCTATAATTTCAGACCTAGGTCTTATGAGGCACAGTGTCTATATGGAACAAGACAGAGAAGTTACCTTTAGGTTAGAATATGCAAGTCACATTTAGAAGTTTTCCCATTTTTTAATGAAAGCTGACAACTTACATGTTCTAGTTTTAAGATTTCAAAACTATAAGCTCAACCAACTGAAATCTGAATTTAAATATATACATATATATATATATATATATATATATATATATACACACACAATGAAACTTGCCATTAGAAGTGCTTGTTACACAAAATATCTACAAGAGTATTATTTTCTTTCAGGAGAGGCTTACAGACTTCCAATCATGGAGGAGTCCTCCACAATACTGCATAGGAATGGGGTAGAAAATGCCCTATCACTGAAGGTCTAATGAAGACCAAGTATCTCTTGTTTGGTCTTTTTCTATTTTAGGAGGATTTTGGAGGGATTGCAGAAGAGCCAGTAACTCCCTAGTGGGATTCATGGAAAGCTGACAGAGCATGATGCAGAACTTCTTATCTGTGAGAATGCTGATGTGAAAAAGCATCAGTCCTGCTCTTGGCTCCCTGCTCAAAGCCACATACGAGCAAGTGCAGAAATACTCACTTTCAACCACATGTTCCCAATTGCTGTTGTGTTTGGCTTATTTTTTTTTTTCCCTTTTTCTTTCACGACTCAAGTTTGTTATTTTGATGAGGGAAAAGTTAGGATGTTTGTAAGGATAGGAAATATTAATTAAAATAAACATAAGGTTAGACCCTACCAACAGCTTGCAGACCAAACTGAAGTCTAATGTGTGCATTTCTATTAAAGTGCAAGTCCTGTTTTGATTGGAAGTTCTTAATTAGATTAGTCGATTATTTAAGAGAGGCAAGTCCTCCACTCACTTTTTCTAAATTTTCATTTAAACAAATATTTGGCATTGTGGCTTCAAAACACAAAGCAATTTATTCCTAGTGTTTCACAATAGACATAGCCAGTGGCTCTTTCTGACTTCTCATTTCTCTCCTGACAGCAGGGATGGCTGCAGAGTCATCAACCCTGACAGTGCTGAGTGAGCTAGAATAGGTGCTGCTCCATAAAATACACTTAGAAAAAATTTTGTTTTTCTCAAAACATTTAGGTTGTTTATTAGTTTCTTCTGCTTTGACAGCCTATAGCACCCTTCCTGTCTACCTGCAGCCTAAACCAGGCATTTGTTTATAGCTTTTCCTCCCATCAAAAGTATAATGAAATTCCTGCCCTGAAAACTGGGAGTTGTAAGATGAAGGAAGAAAAAATATTTTTTCCTGGCTGGCATTGACTGTAGCCAAGAACCACACAGATTCCTCTGGTGCCATGTCTGTGGCCAGCAGCCATGCTCCTTCCATGCTAACTGCCCCGTGTGTTTATTCTGAACCAGGGCATCCTCAACACGTAAAGGAGCTGACAAAGTCAGAGGGGCAGCACTGGCTGCAGGAGGGCATGGAGGGATTTACAGGTAGACCAGACTAGACATGAATGAACAGGAAAAAGCAGATGTTACACGACCACAATTTTTCTAAAATCATTTCAGTAATACAGGAGAACCTTGGCAGTCCTAAGGCATTTAGTCAGCCAACATTTTTGTAAACAAATACATAATTTAATCTTAAATGTCATTTCATTCCAGGGGTCAATTTCAGGTTGCTGTCACATAGGTCTCTTCCTTGGGGAGATTTGTTCAAGGGTGATTTCTGAATACACAAGAAGCAAAAGGGGACAAAAAATCCAATCAATTCCAAAAAGAACGGTCCTGGTGTGCATTGCAGGCAATGAATTAGGGAAAGGCCAGGACTTTCTTTTAACAGTGATGGACTGAATGGCAAGAGGTGTTCTATAATGAGGTAAAACATTCCCTGCCAAAGTTCTAATTAGTCAGGAAAATAATTTTCAGTAGTTTTACATTTTTCCATTGCAGACTCAAGACCCTTTGAGGATTTGAATTAAAAAAACCTGACAGAGTACAATAAAACACTGCAGAAAGAATAAAATGATCTTCAAATATAGAAGAACAAATGCCACTATGTAAGCTGAGGAGTCATAATCATTCTCTCATATGAAAGAACTCTGTTCCTGCTTAGAGAATTTCAGTTCAGGCCTGGTATTAGAAATGCAAGGCTTCATACTGATACACATCCCTCTTCTTTTTTCTTTCGGTTCAAGGACATGACAAAGAATGAACAGGTTTGGTTCCTTAGCCAGGAATTCCTACAAGGTGTGTTAATATCTGCTGAGTCAAAAACATCGTTCTTTTTCCTTTAATTTTTTTTTTTTTTTTGGCATAGATTCTCCTTTTTGGACAACTGAAAACAGGGCACTTGAGCTGAGATCTGATACCAAACCACTTATGGTCAGCAGGGAGTTTTTTTCTGTAGATGGACCTGGCTGCACCTGTCCCCAGAAGCATTCATTCTGGATAGACTAAATTATTCTGTAATGCAAAGTGACTCTTCACCTAGTGAAGCTGGAAAATAGGAAAGAGATTAAAAATGAAACTAGTTTAAGAGTTGAAAGAGATTAAAGGCATCATCAAGATAGTTTATAAATTTATACTTAAATTACGTAAACTATCTGAAGATTGTCATATCCCAGCCAAGTTTCTCTTTCCCAGTACAACTGATTTGCAAGTACCATTCAGACACACTCCAAAGAAAAGAAAATGTATTTTCTAGTAATTTGAACATTGTGATCCAAGAAAGAAAACATTATGGCCACCTCTGTTTCTTTTAGTGCATTATTTTTTAAGTTTTGATACCGTTTTATATTTTGTATATGACCATATTCTTTCACCAAGAGATAGGCACAATTGTGCCTATATGTAACAGCTGCTTTATAATCAGTACTTCTGGCAAAATTATCAGAGATTCAGATGGAATTTAAGGACACTATAATCAAGTTCCTAGCTGCAGGTGGAAAAAGGAAGGAAGTCTTAAGATATTTTTAATCTACCATGATAACTTCAAGTTGCTGTGAGTGCAATTCTCTCAGTGCAGTTATGTTTGATTTGGAGCAAAGCAGATTAAAAGTAATTGCCCTGGACATTGGTCAATGCAAATAATATCATCACATAGAAGTTCATGTAATATTAATTTCCAGGATATTTTTTTCTAGGCAATTTTAAGGAGGTTTGAAGTTTACATTTAATTTGAAGAAGGGGGTTTGTTTGAAGCTTACTTGAATTAGTCAAAGACCACCAAACTGATGCAGGCTAGAAACCTGTGAAAACTTTTCATTATCTGTCCAGCATGTATGCCACCTTTTGTGGCCACAGTTAAGAGTATGTCTTTCCTAAGGCTTTCCAGGGTTACAAATTACATTTCTAATCTAAGGCTGGATATGAAAAAAAGGCATAAAGAATGTGTAAAAGAAAAAATATTTGAAACCAATATTATACCCATCCGTAATTTCAGAGGGTATTTCCAGTCATATAAAGTTGGCACTATGTAGTATGAAGATATAACCCCAGTGCAATCAGAATTAAAACATATGTTTACTTTTCTATCTGCATGTTAATCTGGTTAGTATAACCAGTAAATTAGAGTAGAGTAGAGTAGAGTAGAGTAGAGTAGAGTAGAGTAGAGTAGAGTAGCGTGAGTAAATTAGTGTTCCCTCAGACACCTATTACATGCATAGAATTAGATTAACAGTATAATCATATTTACTAACATTTTAAACAAGAAGATATTTCTGTGTCATGCTCTAATGATGATGTCTGAACCAAAAATACCACTCAACTTCAGTCCTTGATGGATCTGATGAGAGGCTGAATTGAGAAATTCTGATATTAGCCAAGAGTTTGAATGTGAAGCCACTGACATAACACTTCACCGACATATTTTGGAGTCCATTCAGGTGTCCAGCTCTACAGAATCAGGGAAATGTCAGAGCCATTCCCCTTGAGGGTATGCGGACTATAGTGGACATAGTGGAAATTCTCTGAGCTAGCTCAATCTGAAAAGATGCTTTGTTCTCAGTACAGAAAGGAATCTATAACATTCAGCAGTGCATTGTTAAAAATCACTAATATATATATCAGTCAAGTCTACTGGAAATCTAAGGAAGTAATTAATTTTGTATACATAGAAAAGAATGCTTCTTCATCCTTTTAATTTTTAAATGTTTTTTGTAAAGGAGCTGGTGTTTTCTGTCCAAAATGAATTCCTCGTTCTTAGGAATAACTAAGAAAACTCTGATGGAAAATGAACAAGACAGATTTCTGCTACTTTGAGACAGCAGCACGTTTGCTAAGAAATAATGTACCAGAGTGTCAGACTGAGTATGCTTTTAGAGAAAACATTTCTAGCTTAGAAAGACATAATTTTAAAAACAACAAGAAAAATTACGCATTTTTAAAAGCCATTAATTCTTGTTTTATTCTCAGTCTTTCTTCTTTTCTATTTTTGATATGTTGGTTTGTTTTTTTGAATTTTGAACCAGCATCTACATAAATGTTGCAGATCAGTAAGCTATTAAAACTAGTATTTTGCTTGTTACATCTCTAAAGACAACTCTCTGAGCTCTCTGAGCAGCAGACTTCCTTTAAATACATAAGTGTGATAGGGTGCTTTTCCTAGATGAGCAAAACCAGAGTCAGTTCATACAAGTTATGAATCCATTCTGGCAAAAAGTTAGACCATTCATTCTGGACCTCTCTTTATAGTTCAAGTAATAAAGACAAGTCTGGAAATCCAATTATTGTCTCTTGTCTTCAATCTTTAAAAAAACTTAGGAAAGGTCTCAATGAGAGAGAAACACAGAAAGTATTTTAAAAGTATTTTATTTAAAGTATATCCTTCTAGTCTTACTGTTTAGAGTCCAGAGTTTAAGATGTGATTACCAACATATGTCTGTTTAATCAATTACTGATTTTTTTATTTTTTTTTTCTGGCTACAGCACCACCGAAACAATATATAGGATTTCTGTATTCTGTTTGCAACTCTGGTAACTTGGATCTCTAACTTGGATCTCAGTTCAAAAGGAAATGGAAACACAGATATGTTTAATAAGAGGAAAAAAAGGCAGAAAAAAACGCTTCTAAGAGCAGGAAGAGATAAGCATTATTAAGCAAATTTAGTTTTGGACATACATTATCTATCTAGCTATGTACGTATGTATGTATGTATGTATATATGCATGTATGTATGTATGTATATATGTATGTATGTATGTATGTATGTATATATCTATCTATCTGTCTGTCTATCTATATATCTATCTATCATTTATCTTTTGCTTTTAGTCATTCTGAAATAACCGTGAAGGTGTGTGATGAGAACAGATGTAGAAATGCAGGTAACATCCTCAAACACATTACCTCACAATGTCATCAAATAAACTTAAATTATGTATTCTGTGGGGTTATCAGTTGTATTTCACATTATCCAGACAAAACCAAACTGAACCAAACCAAACCAAATCAAACCAAATCTCTTTTAGTTTAGAGAAATAAGAAACATTGAAAACATCAAGGGTTGTGTTGAGGAAAGAAGAAATGGAGATTGATCTTACATGAGGCAATGCCATTTCACGGCTGAGCTTGGTCAAATTACACCATGTAGATGCCAATGTGAGGCCCTAACTCTCACTAAACTTTAAGCTCCAGGTCTCTGTGCAGCATTTTTATTTACTGACATTCTTGGGGCTGTGGGGTGGAAAGTTATCTCC